ACTCTTTTTTCCAGAACCGGCCCCATAGGAAGTGGACCTGGTCGAGCCCCGACGGTTCGACAAAAATGAGATTGACTTCATTATGACGACCAGACGCCAACTGTTCAGTGATGTCTCAGTGATCGCAAGGGTGAAAACTGGCAGCGATCACCGAATGGTTAGAGGCACACTGAACCTAAACGTTAACTTGGAGAGGTCTCGTCTAATTAAGTCAACGCTCCGTCCACCTCGTGCTCTAATCCAGAATCCCGAAACCTTTCAGCTCGAGTTACGTAACCGCTTTCAGTGCCTACAAGATTGCAATGGATTGGACTATATGAATGACAAGCTCGTAGAAACTGTCCATGCGGTCGGAGCTAAGTTCTGCAAGACCCGCCGCAGAAGAACATAAAAACTCTCCGATCACACTTTTAATCTCATGGCTGTTAGACGGGAGATGAGGCTGCAATCGTCAACAGACTTGACAGCATACAGGCAACTGAACAGACAGATCTCCAAATTCATGCGGCGAGACTTACGCAACTTTAATACTGCTCGTATTAAAGAAGCGATCGAGCGGAACCAGGGCTCCAAAGTCTTTACCAGAGATCTGTCTGCCAGTAAGAGCCAACTGTCAAAGCTAAAGACTGAGTGTGGCAGCATCGTTTCCAGGATACCTGAGATTTTGAGTGAGATTGAGAGGTTCTATGGGCAGATGTACACATCATCGTTGGAGCCACACGCAAGTGTGAGTAACGATCCAAGAGCAAGTCTTATCCGACACTATTCCGATGATATCCCGGACGTCAGTCTAAGCGAGATTAGAATGGCTATCCAGCACCTTAAAAACGGCAGGGCCTCAGGCGAGGATGGAATTACAGCGGCGCTTCCGAAAGCGGGTTGAACACCGGTACTTGAAGTCTTTCAGAAGCTCTTCAATTCCGTCCTACATGGTGGCACTAATCCAGAAGCGTGGAGCAGAAGTGCGGTGGTCTTGTCCTTTAAGAAAGGCGACAATGTTCTCTTGAAGAACTACAGACCGATTTCCCTTCTGAGCCGCGTCTACGTGCTGTTTTCGAGAGTCATTACGAATCGTCTCGCACGCAGACTCGACGACTTCCAGCCTCCCGAACAAGCCGGTTTCCGAAAAGGCTTCAGTACCATAGACCACATACATACCCTGCGGCAGATTGTACAGAAGACCGAAGAGTACAATCTGCCACTTTGCCTGGCGTAAGTGGACTATGAGAAAGCCTTTGATTCTGTCGAAATTTGGGCGGTGCTACAATCTCTTCAGCGGTGCCAAGTTGACTATCGGTATAATGAAGTGCTGAAGTGTTTGTACAGTAGGGCTACGATGGCTATCCGAGTACAGAACCAGAGCTCGAAACCTATCCAACTGCAAAGAGGTGTAAGATAGGGTGACGTTATATCCCCGAAACTCTTCACCGCTGCATTGGAAGATGTTTTCAAGCTACTGGACTGGAAAGGAAACGGTATTAACATCAATAGTCCTTATGTCAGAATCGCTGGAGAACTTAAGCACTATGCTCAATGACCTCAATAGTGCCTCCCAACGGATAGGTCTTAAGATGAACATGGACAAAACAAAGATCATGTTTAATGTCCATGTCACACCTATGCCGGTAGTTGTTGGGAGCACTATGCTCGAAGTTGTTGACGGGTACGTTTACCTGGGACAAATAGTCCGACTAGGTAAGTCCAACTTCGACCGAGAGGTCAATCGACGGATTCATCTCGGCTGGGCAGAGTTCGTGAAATTACGACATATCTTCTCGTCAGGTATACCTCAATCTCTAAAAACTAGATTGTACAACCAGTGCGTGTTGCCAGTGATGACTTACGGATCTGCGACGTGGTCCTTCACTGCTGGCCGTATGAGGACGCTCAAGGCTCAGCAAGCTATGGAGAGGGCTATGCTCGGAGTTTCTCTGCGTGATAGACTCAGAAATGAGGATATCCGCAGTAAAACCAGAGTGACCGACATAGCCCAACGGATTAGTAAGCTGAAGTGGCAATGGGCCGGCCTTATAGCTCGAAGAACCGATAACCCTTGGGGAAGAAAGGTTCTCGAGTGGCAGCCTCGTACTGGTAGGCGTAGTGTAGGGCGACCCCCCACTAGATAGAGTGACGATCTGTTAAAATATGCAGGAAGTCGATGGATGCAGGTGGCTCAGGACCGTGCTTTGTTGCATTACTTGGGGGAGGCCTATGTTCAGCAGTGGACTTATGAAGGGCTGTAATGATGATGATGAAATGATGAGAGACCTATCTTGTTTAAAAATCAATCAGCGGTGTTAGCCAAATTAACTTTATACAATCCTTAACGTAAATACTAAACTATAAAAATGAATGAATTATAAATGGAATGGAAGTAAAGTTACGACTTAAAATTGAAACGCGTTATTTTTAATCATTTTTATAGTTTGAAAAAATTGTAGACAGTCAATTTGAACTCCCCGCTAGGTTGGTCACCACCACCCTCAAAACTAATTTTGCAACAAAGCAGCAGTAAGATGACTTTTATTTTGATTCACTGAGGCACACTGTAGTCTCCTTTGTTTGAAGTTGGTAGCAAGTTCGATAGAATATAAGTTTGATTATCTTCCCGTAATTAAAAAATATATTTATTAATAATAATAATAATTTGTTTTAATTTAAGAAGTTTATTTTAATATAGTAAATAAACTACTATTTATATAAATTTAAAGCTTTCACGATGACTCATTTACAAATATAACAGCAAAATCAACATGTCTTTTCTTTCGGGATCTCTTCCTAAGGGATTTTGAAAACCTTTCTCTTAAAATGGTATATCTTCAAGCATATTCCTGTAATAAAACTGACCAAGTGCGACTCGGACTCCCGCATGAAGTGTTCCATATCATCATACAAAATTTAATACGATTTAGGTACTTTTAAAATACGTTTGTAAAAGAAAAAAAATGTCTACTGTATTGGAACCCCTTTAATTTTTAAATATTATTTTATTTTATTAAAATTTTTTCAGCGAGTATAGCAATACAAACTCTGTGAGCATTTCAATCGTCTACTTATAAAAAAACACTTTTATAGTAGGGGATCTCTCTTAAATTTTTAATTAGTTGTTATTATAACGGCAACAAACACATTCTGCGCAAATTTCAACTGTCTGCCTATTACAGATCATGAGATACAGCGCACTGAGGGACGGGCGGACGGCCGGACGGACAGCTTAATAATAGGGTCCCGTTGGTCTCTCTTCTGGTACGGAACCGTAGAAACGATAGTTTTTTTTAATCGAAAAAATAATCACATATTGAAATATTTTATTAAATTATAATACAGTTCGATCATTAGTTAAGAACTACATATGAGTTGAAAAAAACTTGCTCACGAATATTGTTTTTAAATCACAATTCGCAATCATTAATACAAAAGACGATCCAAGGCTTTCAGGATAAAGTTTGCGAGAAAACGTTTAAGTTCCTGAAAATAAAGAAAAATATTTGTTATAATCATATACATTAAATTAAAAAATGTATGATCGATGACAGTAAGTCGAAAATTCAGATATGAGACAAATTTACTGCGATCACTAATCTACCTGCCCAGTATCAATGTTGAATTGGGTATTGGATATTAAAGTCAATGGTGGAAAATTCACTCGTATTCGATTTGCCGATGATATAGTCATTATAGCAGAATACCTAGGAGACTTTAGGAATATATTCATCGATCTTAATAGTGTCTCTGGATAGGTCGTTAAGTACATAATATAACTTCTAAGATTAGACATGACAAAAATTATGTCTTACACTCTATAAAGGTAGCGAGCATACGCTAGGGTGTGCCTGTCAGGTTTGTTAATATAAAAGTGTAAAATGATGAATGGTAGGTACTCTATAGAATACGGCGTGCGATGAAAACCTGTACCTCAAATTCTAGTTTCTACACTTTGTCAGTTTAGTATTTAGTTCTAGTTTAGCTATGAAGATGCTAATATTTAACTAGATTTATGTTTTACTGAGAGAAGAGTGGTAACCTCATATTGACTAGTGAAGTACAGGATGGAAACCCAAACCCAAGTATACCACTGCAAGACTTCAAGATACTGTAAGTTCGTTTTGCGTAAAACTGACCAAAACTTAATATTCAAAAACTGAAGGTAGCCGGGCTAACAATGACATTGGGATGTCTAACATCTCAGTCCCCCCTCCCCGTGACCATGAGTGCTGTAAATCACCCGAAACGTCGGGAATTAAAAATAAAGTAAAATCAGTTAAATAAACGCGATAGAATCCGTAAATTTAGTTTTATTCAATATTATTTTATTTATTAGTAACTAATATTAGGAGTATTGAAAGTTCTACTTAAAGAGATTTCCTACTGAAATTATCTGCACCGTTATACTTTATTTTATTAATTATAACGTTACGAGCTTAAATTATTAAACACCTGTGTTCATATCAAAATGTACGCTATTGATTAAAAAAAGATATCACCAATCTTAATTATAATTGATTGATTACGTTAAGATGTTATCAAAGTTTTCTGTTCAGTATAAATAGTTGCTATTGTAAATATTTTTAGTCAGCTATTCGATAGAGCAGGTAAGTCAATACATCTATTGCATATCATAACAGATAGATATTCTTATATGTTGAATTCAGGATCAAACGTTGTCTTTTTTTCAAAATTAACGTTACTTTCTCTATTTTCCCTCACATTTTCACTTGTCTGTATGACATACGAAGTAATTCCTGGTTACTCTAGTTGAGAAATGTTTTCGTTTATCCTTGCTGCCCGTTTTCTATGTACGAAATTTATGGTAAACTTTCCGGAACGAACTACTAGAGAAATTTAAGAAGACTTTTGTTTAATTACGTATATTGTTAAAAGGGACTAGAGAAACGTCTATTAAACGAATGAAGATATCGGTTCGGTTTTTGATAAAATTACATAATTGGTCATCGGGTCTAAATATTAAGTGTGCGTAATTGCTTTTGAAATCCAGATGAATGGGTCTTAAGAGGTCTGAATGTAAGAAAATTCGGGGTTATCATAACAAAAACATGCCAGAAAATCATGAGTTTTCTGATATTTAAATGCAGTGGTAGATTTTTCGGTCAGATTGGCTGATCACTAAGCAAAGCGGTTGCCCAGCTACTTACCATTATCGATGTTATTAAGCATCTATCGTGGAAAATTATTAGGACCTTACATGGGTGCATTGCGAATAGGTGGAGTTGACTAGTACTTGGAGAGAAACTTGGTACATTTTCTCTTATAGGTACCCCTAATGCATGTTTTATGTTAGAGAATCCATCAAACTAACTTTATAAATATATTATCCCTCCAACTGAGCTTGAAATATTTAGTGCTAGAAATATTTCACGACTGAAGTCAAATAGTGGATAGTACAGATAGTAGATAATAGTGACATTGAGTCACAAATTTTGAGTTTTTCAGTTTGTATTTTTAAATTATATTTGACTATTCAACTGTCTTGATGGTTCTGGCAATATCTGTTGGTAATTTAGTTGTTCGGTCATAATTTTATTAAAACACATTTCGTTATTTTCAAATATTGTGAAAACAGCAATACTTATTACAGAACGCATTATTAATCTAACTTTATAATTAAAAATACATGTCTTATATTATAAATTATAGTATAAGTCTTATATTTATAGGGACAGTAAAATGAAAACCATCGCTTTCGCTTTTGTCGCGTTGCTGGTCGGTGTTAACGCCGTACATAATGTTGTTCCAAAAGCTGGTAAGTGAATGCTTATTATTAGTATATTTTATTAAAATTATTTTTAAAAATACATACTTAGGTCACAATTTAACTATACCGACCATATTTTTAATTTAAATTTAATAGATTTTTCTGATTGAATTTATTTAAAAATCACGAATGTTATGAACAGAGATTATATTGTTTCTATGGAATAATAAGACTTATGTCACAATCGGCTCACACTGTTACAGATGTAAGGAACGAAAAAATTATCGATGGAATTATTATTGGCATCATTGAAAGTATTGCTCAGCAAATCCAGGACTTAGGACTCGACCCGCTGGAAATTGGCAGATTTGTTGGGGAATACACTTTCCCCGTAGATGGGTAAGTCTGCTTCTTATTTGCTAACTTCTAGAAAGGTTTTCAATAAAATTAAAACACAAATTTCTTAATAAAAATACGTAATATATTATATAAAATAATATTATACAAAGTGTACATGTATATATATATATATATATATATATATATATATATATATATATATATATATATATAAAATTAAAAAATGTAAATAATGTATGCATATCCTTAAATGTTATTTATACGTACGAGCTGATAGCCTACCTATCCATAATGATGGTTAGACCGCAACCGGCGTTGTCACCCTTGAGGGTTATTTCCATTTTACCACGTTTTACTACGACTCGTACTTGAGACAAATTTAGTAATTGATTTTAAACTCCCGATGAGTTGACACATAAAATTTTCAACATAGCTCAGGATCGAATAACAGTGTAAAAACATAAATATGAAAAATGTGGTAGATTTAAAAAATAATAATTTTTGAAAATTTCATTCATTAAATTAATTATTAACTGATTTGATATAAGATCGTGCACATATTAAACGGCAAGTCCGTGAAAGTAAGGTATAGTTCAATTATCAACGAACAAATTTGCAGTATGTACATCATCGAGTAGAGAGGTCAACAAGGCGGGAAGCGGGATCAGTAGTTTGTTTTAAAAAGCCTTTTACTGCAATATTAGATAACCAGTAGAGTACATAACCAGAGTTCAAAACCTATCCAACTGCAGAGAGGTGTAAGACAGGGTGACGTTATATCACCCGAAACTCTTCACCGCTGCATTGGAAGACGTTTTCAAGTTACTGGACTGGAAAGGATACGGTATTAAATATAGTACGGTATTGAGCCGATATAGTCCTTATGGTAAAATCGCTAGAGGACCTAAGCACTATACTCAATGACCTCAATAGTGTCTCCCAACGGATAGATCTATTTATATAATTCGCATAAATTTCAAAATATTATCAGAAAAGTAGAATGCAAATTTCTTGATTCTAACTGGGATTTGAACCCTTGGCATAGTTGTTAGTACTTCGATCGTAAGCCACGTCATCGTAATTCAATATCTTCTTAAACCCAGAATCTTCAGAGGCAGCGTTTCCATTGAGAACTTCGAGTTGTCTGGCCTTAGCAACATTGTCATTAATGAAGTCAGCTTCCAAGGCAACACGTTGAGCCTCGACTTGGCACTTCCCAGTATTGATGGTTCTGCTGGTAAGTATGAATTTGATTTAATATTAAAGTAAAAGTATTTAACAAAAAATAAATGTAATAATATTGGACAGTGGTCAGTTGATACCTCAACCGGAGACAAATAATATCATTACAGCCCATCACAAATCCACTTCTGAACAGAGGCCACCCCAATTATTACCACAAAGCAGGGCCCAGAGTCTCCTGCCTATATCGATTTCCTACATGGACCTGGTAATTTCTCGTCACTTCATCTAGTGGGATCCATCCTATACTCCATTATTCGGTATGAGGTTACCATTCTTAGGCCTTTCTTTTATATCAGATGTCAATTAGTCAACCTATAAGAATACCTAATTGCCACTTCAGCTTACTGATTCGATGGGCTATGTTAGTTACTTTGGAACTGCTGCGGATATTATCACTAAAAACTATTCGGTTGTAACTAACTCCTGCTTTAAGCAACGGCAAACATCTTCCCATGGAACAGCAACAGACAATGGCTGCAGGTGTCAGATGCAATGTACCTTTGTAAATCGAATAGAACTTCACAACTCATAGTAATCGCTTTGTATACTCTTCAAATAGTTACAAAGAGTGAATCCTGTTGCTTGACGTAATAAGGAAGAAAGTAGAGTTTCTAAGTCAGAATATACCATCTAGTATCCAGTAAAATATAAATCTAGTTAAGTATTAGCATCTACATGGCAAAACTATGATGAAGTGTATCATTGCCAGCATTTGGGGTACAGGTTTTAATCGCGCGCTATACTCCATAGAGTACATATCATTCTGCAGTTTTACACCTTTATATTAATCAATATTTGTGACTACTAAGAGAAGTTATGGTGTAGACGGTGTAAGAATATCCATTACCTTATACCGTGTGTCGTAAAGGCAGCTATGGCTTAATCTTCCCTATGAGGCAATCTATAGGGAAGGACTATGTTCAGCAGTGGACTTTTATAGGCTGAAATAGGTGGATGTAAGGGAAGCTAATGGATTGTTACGTCATATTGAATATCTATGAAAAAACACTTACCTTTCTCTTTTTCTTCCATTTAAGGTGATGTCTCTGTTGAAGTCCAAATCCTCAAGCGTAGACTCTTTGGGCACGGTGGCGGCAGGTAACCATAATTTCACAAATTTTAGTGATTCAAATTATTGTTCAATGCTTGATGAATGATAGATACTCATAAGTTAAAAAGAGTAGGTTGCCAATTACGATTAATGAAATAATTTATCTTTCAATATTATGTAAATTAAATTAGGGACCGACTTTTCAATGATAAGATAAAAGCTATTCGCAGGGTAAAATATAACATAAAAATTGAAAATTACCCTTGTATGAACAAATAGTTCAATTATATTAATTTTAGATTACATCGGGTCATAATTTATTTTAAGGATTACTTTTATCAAAAGACTGAAATATCTGTCGTAAATAAGTTAAATTATTCTTTAACTTTAGTACAGGATGGGCTCAAATTTTTGCCAATAGCAACACTTGATTTCTAAAAAAACTGTTAGAGGGAGGTGCACGCGGGTAGCGTGTAATTCTGCGTCGCTTTACGCAATTTCAGTCATGATGGAGTGCTTCACGGGACAACAGCGTGCTTTTTGTGTAAAAGAATTTTACAAAATGACTATTCTTACGTTACTGTACGACGCCTACATAAAAACATGTTGCTTAGAAAAGTAAGTGTCCAAATGTTAACTTAATCAAAACTTGGGTCAAGAAGTTCGAGCCAACGAGATTGACAACGAATATTAAACAAATAAGGCGGCCACGTTCAAGAAGAAGCGATGAGAATATTCGTGAGGTCGAAAATTCCCGGAATCATCTACGCGTAAGCGTTCAGTATCTCTGGCAATACCCAGGACTAGTCGCGGCGAATTTTATACCTGGCCTTAAACTATAAGTTATTGGCTGATATACACTATGCTGGAGCGATTCTCTAGCCTTGAGAATGTATTGTTTACGGATCAATGGGCTGTTTTCGTGCCCAATTATCGATAATAAAGCAGAGAAAACTCTAGTCTTAAACATCAAAGGTCACTTCCTTCACCAAAAACATTATACGCTGGCATATCAGCAAAAGGCATAATCGCCCCTATTTCTTTGAAAATAATCAAGGAAATTACGTGGCTGTGAACTCAGTGGAATACGTGAACATGTTGTGAGATTTTTGACGCCACAGTTACTTGAGTTTGAAGGGTACAACAGCAGGACTTGGATTCAATAAGATGGAGCAACATAACATATGAAAAATATGACTTTATCGGTGGTGATATAAATGTTTCCTAACAAATTGATTTCTCACAAAGATGATATTCCATGGCCTCCAAGAAGCCCAGATCTTACACCTTGCGACTTTTTCTTGTGGGGATAACTTAAAAACCGAGTGTATCTTAATAAAACGAAAACTGTATCCCAATTAAAAGAAAACATCAACGAGGAGATATCCGCGATCTCTAGCAGCGTGTGTCAGCGAGTTTTCCAAAGTTTGCGTAGTCGATTGCAAGAGTGCCAAAGACGAGACACGGCACATGTCGACCATGTCATTCTTAATGAATAAATCTCACTAAACGTTTACTACGTTAAATAAATAATCAACAAACTAATATTTGCAGTTATATTTCTATTCGTACTTCATATGTGCAAAAATTTATGGCCCAACCTGTGTAAAGATAAACCTAAAATAAATACTATTTTAAAAGTGCTTCAATTATGATGCTAGTGAAATAATACTATCAAAAGTTTCTGATATCATAAATTTTCATCAGGTTAAGTATTAAAGGTCTTCGCATCGCTGGCCAGGTCACCCTTGGTACTGAAAAACTAATCGACGATTTGAATCTTGGGTTTAGCCTTGGAGGAATTGAAGTAAGCTTTTGTATACCTTATAGATTTGAATATATAAAAAAAATTGTCTTTTTATTTTTAATTTAAAAATGTACCGTTTTTCTAGTCTGACCTCAATGTTAACATCATGGGTTACGATATCTCCAACCGATTGAATGAATATCTTGGTAACACCCTGCCTTCCCAGCTCAACAAATATGAGGTAAGTTTTTAATAGATTTAATTGTTCATTATCATCTTTACAGTCCTTTATAAGTCCACTGCTACATTATGTTTGAATGCTACAAAACGAGGCCTTGAGCCACCTGCGCCAATTGACTTCATGTACGTATTATCAGGTTGTCACTCCTTTTAGGTTCGAGGCTACAACTTTTAAAGCTTAGGCCCAAGGATAACCCTTTCTTCTTAACGTTCTTTGAGCTATATGGCCATATATGCCGCTTTACCTTACTGATCTGTAAAGTTAGAAAAGTAGGTTCTATTTGCGGATGTCCTCATTACGAATTCTACCACCCAGAGAAACTTAAATGCATAGACCTGAAGCTTCCTCATATGCTAGCAATGAAAAACCACATCACACGTAGATCCACATGTCAAAACTGTCAAGACGCACTGTTTGCACGTGCTCAACGTTGCAGTTTTCAACTTTTGAGGTATACACGACGAGAACATGAGTTATAATTCCTAAATAATGCTGTGCAAAATTGGATCCCAGGTAAACATACTCGTCAAAAAATTCAAGCGTAGAGTTCTTAATAACTGCTTGTGTTGTCAGATACATCGAAGTTTTGGCAGTAATACGCTCTAGAGTGTACCTGATGGATCTACCTGTACAGGTAAACCGGAACGTGTATGACGCATAATCACAACGTGTGTTCTCTACTCAGCTCAACTTACCTGACGCATATTACTGTACAGGAAAATCTGACACCCTAGCGTATGTTCGCTAACTTTATAGGGTGTACGACATGATTTTTGTCTTATCCGATCTTAGTAGTCATATGCGATTTGTGACCTATCCGGACACTATATAGGTCAATAAACATATTCCTCAGGTCTTCTATATATACTTCCACAATGATTTAGTCATTGGCAAATGTAATGTGAGTGAATTATTCGCCGTTGACTTTAATATATGATATCCAATGCAACGGTGATACTGGGCAGGTAGATTTACTGTGATCACTAGATCGCAGTAAATTTTACTCAAATCTGAATGTTCGACTCACTGTCATCGATCATACAGTTTTTAATTTAATGAATATGATTATAACGATTTTTATTTTTATTTTCAGGAACAACTTAACAGTGTTCTCGCAAACATTATCCTGAAAGTCTTGGATCGCCTTTTGGATTAATAATTGCGAACTTGAATTATAAGTTATTTAAGAGCAAGTTTTTAAAAAAGCTGTTCTTAATTAATGATCAAACTGTATTATAATTTAATAAATTATTTCAATTCGTAATTATTTTTTAGTTTTTTAATTATTACTATCCTGTTTAGTATTTTGTACCAAAAGGGTAACCAACGGGACCCTAAGTAAGTAATACTAAGCCTCTGCTGTCCGTACATCCGTCCGCCTGTCAGTCAGCGGGCTGAATTTCATGATCCGTAATAAGTAGACAGTTGAAATTTGCACAGGATGTGTGTTTCTCTTGTTGATATAATAACAGATAATAAAAATAAGGTAAATATTAAAGGTGGATCCCCTACTAGAAACGTGTTTTTTGGCTTTCTTTACTCGATCTTAATAATGGCAACAAGTAGACGCTTGAAACGCTCACAGAGTTTGCATCACTATATTCACTAAAAAAAATTAAAAAAATATATTTAAAAATTAAAGGGATTCCCATACAGGAGACAAGTTTTTTCTTTTACAAAAGTATTTCAAACGTACCTAGATCATATTACATCTTATACGATGATACGAAACACTTCATGCAGGAGTGCAACTCCCACTTGTCCGGTTTTATTAAAGTGTTATTATATAATATTAAACATGATATACCATTTTAATAGAAGAAAAGTTTTTAAAATCCCTTGTCATCGTAAGTAAAGACACTTTAGTTTTGCTATTATATTTGCAAATGGGTCAACGTGAAAGCTTTTAATTTAAATAAATATTAGTTTATTTAGTATAATAAAATAAACTTCTTAAATTGAAATAAATTTAAATTATTATTAAGTTATTTTTTGGTAAATTACGGATAAGATAGTCCAACTAACAGTCTATCGAACCTGCTACCAACTTTAACAAAGAAGAATACAGTGTGTGTCAGTGTGGGTCTATTACACTTCGAAATAAAACAGTAGTAATCTCACTACTGCTTTGTGGCAAAATTAGTTTTGAGGGTGCTACCAACCTAGGTGAGTGGTTGTGTGGACTGTCTACAATTTTTTTCAATTTATACAAATGATTAGGAATAATATATTTGAATTTTAAGTAAGTTTATTTTTCAAGTCGTAACGTTACTTGCAATCAATTCATAATTCATTCATTTCTAAAGCTTAGTATTTACGTTAAGGATTGTATAAAGTTAATTAAGCTAACACGGCTGATTGGTTTTTAAACAGGATGAGGGTATTATTATTGAGTTAAATAGGTTATATATAAAGATTATGTTTATACGTGGAAAAACAAAAATACTTAGTTCATACGAGGGTGATACTGAAAGTTCTTAGAAAATCAAGAACTGAACAAACTAGCAAGTCATTAGTTTTATTATATATTTTCAAAATAGTTCTATTTACAACAATATATCACTACATCCGATGGAACCACTGTTTCCTCGGCGTCAATAAAACGTTTTTCTCGAAGTTTTTCTTTTATTTTCGATAGTAAATAAAAATCGCAAGGTGCGAGGTCGGGTCTATATGGCGGGTGACTTAGTAACTCCACGTCTGATGTCGCCAAGTAGTCAATTGTGTGCTTGGCGGTGTCCCACGAGACATTGTCGTGGTGAAGGAGGATCCTACTGCGAGGTCGTTTCTCCCGAACTTTTTCCAAGACAAGTGGCAAACAATTGTTAGTTTACAACTCTGTAGTAACTGTTTTTCGATCCACTAAAACAATCGTTGTGTAATGACATTCCAAAGAACGAGGCCACTACCTTTTTCCCCACGCTTCGACCTCTCTTCACTTTAGTCGGCAACTCCTCGGAAAGAAACATCCAGACAGCAGACTGTCTATTAGTTTCAGGATCATAACAATAAATCCAGCTTTCGTCAGCTGTAATTATCTAGGGTAAGATTCGTTAAAGTGGCCCAGGCGGGTAAAGTGGCCACCTTGTTGTTAAGAACCAACCAAGTAGCACCATTTGTCAAAGGCTTATGGAAATTATTCATTGACCGACGCCATATTCTTCCAGTAAACACCGACCACACCGAAAGCTATAAGAGCTCAGTTCACGTGGACAGATTTTATGACAAAAAAGGTGGTTTTTGCGGTCTCTGAACTAAAGTAAGTGGCTTAAACATTTTAATAATTTATTGCGTTCAATAAAAATACAATACAATGTAATATTTTATCAGTTAATCTCTCTAACGAACTTTTTATTTCACGGTTAAGAGGGACAATATAACCTCATTTGACATTTGAGTATTTTTTTCGTCTCATGCCATTTCGGGTAAAGTGACCCCACTAGTGCTAATTTTTTTTCTTCTCTTTCTCTTTTTCTTGTATATTTACAGGAAAAATTAGCACTAAAGTGGCCAAGTAATAATATATTGATCATTTATATTTAAAAAATGTTTTGTATTGTTTTAGATATGCCAAATATATATAAAAGACATAATATATATAAGTGCAGCAGCAGCGTAGGACCGGATTGCGATGGAAAAAAGCTATAAGAGCTATAAGAAACGAAGAAATGGGAAATATGTTCTTAAGAATATTTATATGTAATTAATGAACAATGAAAAATAATGAATAATAAATAAACTTTTAGTCCCTTAATCGCATTTGATTATTTCCTGAGTCAATTTTAAATAAAACTTAAATTAATCTAATAATAATTGCATTCTATTCAGACTGGGCAACTTTACTAAACCTGCATAGGTAAAGTGGTCAACTTCCCATTTCAGATTTAAACTTAAAAATACTATAAAATGTCTTAAAATAAGAATGTGGTGTCAAAACTACATTAGTTTGGGAGAATATATTAATAAAGTAACGTAAATATTTTTCATATTTATCTAATAGGCAATCATTCAAGCCTTAGGGTGACCACTTTACCTGAGCTTCCCCTACAAACTTACGGGTGACGAAAGCTGGATTTGAAACACCTCCGTTAAATTTTTGAACCATTTCATGACACCAAACAACACGACGGAATTTTTGGGCCTCTGTCAAATTATGAGGTATACACCGGGCACAAAGCTTCCTGACCGCTAAATGTTCATGGAGGATTTTGTGCACTTGACTCATACCGATGCCTAAGCTTGTCCAAATTTGCTGATAAGTAACACTTTCATCAGTCTCTAACATACACCGCACAACATTGATGTAACGTTAACGCCGATTATACACAGGCCTATGCCTGAAAAGTATGAAAGAGTGTTCATTTTGATTCAAACTACTTTTACGGATTTTATCGCGTTTATTTATGATATTTTTAAAACCCGACGTTTCGGGTGCTTTCCAGCACCCATGGTCAAGGGGGACTGAGATGACTGATGTCCCGATGTCAAAGTTAACCTGGAGTACCTTAAGCTTTTTTGTTATTGTTTTTGGTCCGATCTACGCGGAATGAACTAACTGTGTTTTCAAGTCTTGCAGTAGTATGCTTGGGTTTAGTTTTAATTTTATTTATTATAGGGTCCCAAGCAGGTACCTAGTAGTATTTTATTAAAATGAGACTTATAACGGAATAATATTCTTATATAGTACGCGATTTATCCAATAAACGACATGTTATGTAAAATGTTACCAGATTTAGAGTGTTCTTCTCACTCACAGGCTTCACTCGGACTCACAGGCTTTCTTATAAATGGCGCGTATTCAATACCGCGCTAGAAATTTATAGTTTATAGTCTTATATTACTCATATGCGCTTAAACTTCTCTGTAGTTGGATAGGTTATGTAGATACTCTGTTTCTGTAGTCGAATTGCCATCGTAGCCGTACTATACAAACACGTCAACACTCTGATATACTCGTATCGAGACTTAATCTGATACCGCTGAAGGAAACGTAGCGCCACTTTAGTTTCCGTAGATTTATAGCCGTTTTAACCACTTATGGCGATGCGCCACTCGCCCTATCCTCCGCGACTCTAACGGGACCACGCCGTTGATGCGGTGGTGCTGAGGCTGCGGGGAAGAGTGTCGTTATTGCGAGGCACCGCTCTTCCTTCTATGCGTTGCAAAATCTTGGTAGATGGCGGAGCCATATACCAAATCCGCTGCCGGATTTAGAAAGGCAAGTGCTTCTGAGTGCTCGTTTTTCTGTCCCCATAACCTTCGCGCATAGGACGCGGGAGCCTACGTGACGCAGATGAAGTTAGAAGCCATGAAGGAAGGCGCGCCATGTGTTTTAGTGCGCTTTATCTGAGAAATAGATGTGGAGGAGTAATCCTCTCCCGAAGAGGATCCAACGTAGGGCGGCCGGCGCTGGTGGAGCGGCGGATATTTGCGAAAGCGTTCCCGTAGCCCTGTTAATATGCGACGAAGTTAAAACACCATTAGGTTTTAGTCGTTGCGAGTACACATATACGAGACATAACCCGTCCTTGTCCCCGCGAGTCGGGTATGTGTAAGCATATCCCCATATAAAGAAAAAGGTCGTTAGAGTATAAGTTCATTAATTAGAATGGTATCATACGTAATTAGGCTTAATATTTCAAAAGTAAGATTAAATAAATGAAATATTTTCCTCCTTTCATATTCTCTTGCTTTAATTGTTGTCAGTGAGCTTTTCACCATTTTTAAATTTAACACTGTGTTCTCTTATTTCACTAAGTAAATCGAGGTGGACTGTATTTGCCTTAATTAAGAACTAACAATTTCTAAAATTCTAGAAGCCGAGTTTTTGTTAGCCCAAATTAATTGATATATAAATATAAATGTAACCCTCCCATCACATCATTTTTCTAACACACATTAAATATTAACATAGGAGTATTGTTGACGATTATAGCTCCGGAAATTTCGTCTGTGATTTGAATCACATTATATCCAACCAAATTTATAAGGTACCTACAAGGATTACTGGAAAAACAAATTCCAACAAGTGTTTGTTACATACTTTAGATTAATTCCACCATTTGGAATGGAAATATTTACATTATTTACGTCACATTGATAAAATATAATGATATTAATATAAAATACCCGATAAAGCTGAGATTGTTATTAATAAAATTTTACTTCAAATTAGGTTATAACCTAATTTTTATCGTTTTTCAATGTAAAACACGTGACATTCTGTCATAAATAATCGATGTCGCAATGCAGTTTGCTTGCATTAAAATAGACATTTAAACACAAATATGACGAAAGCGTAGTTAATAAAAACTTGAAAAAACAGATTTCTGTACAATAATATCAAATTTTGAATTTACTTTAGAATTATTTAAATATAGTTCACGCATTCATTCTTCCAATATACTATAAGTTACTCGACTCCAGCGAGTCAGTAATTCATTCTTGTGGCGATGTATAACGCTTTTACAACAAAATCCCAGAAAATATACAAACTTTGACGTACACAAAGTTCAAAAACGTTATTAAACTAAGTTTGTATAAAAAGGGTTATTATATATTAAGGAATTTCTGGATGATTATAACCCCTGGGAAAGGTGATCGCTGCCAAGCTATTTCTAATTAGTCTTGTGTTGTTAACTGTAAACACTATGATTGTAAGCTATTATTGGAAATTAAATAGTCCCGCCGGGTTTCTTGCTGATTCTTCCCAGGACAGAGGTTTTTTTGCGAACCAGTGGTAAATGAAAAAAGTGACTTTCAATAAGTATTGTTATAATCTACATTGAATAAAAAAAGTTTCTGTTTCTGTTTCTGTTTCAATAAAAGGCTATTAGTCTAAAAGTCCGCTTTTAAACATAGGGCTACATAGATTGCAGCATAGTTGGACTTTTTGCTATTGTTGCTACGCTTGGCAGGCAGTGGTAGCTCAGATGGTTAACGCGAGTAATCCGGGTTCGATCCCTGCCGGCACCAATGAAATTGTTAATTGCAATTTTAAGTGCTGGTTTACCACGTGCTCGGCGGTGAAGGAAAACATCGTGAGGAAACCTACATGTCCGAAGAATAAGAAAAAAAATATTTCGAAGACATTTGAAGTTCGCCAATACGCATTAGTGGGGCGAACACTTCTTTGCCCTAAGCTCCTCTCAGAAATGAGGGGAGGCCTGTGCCCAGCAGTGGGATGTATAAAGGCTGTAACTTATTGGCAGGCATGTTGACAACCTAAGCAAAAATAGAAAATTAAACCCTAGTTGTGCCGGGTCTTAGCCTAGGTTGTGATGCCTCTTTTTTATAAAGCACTTTGGGAGTACAAACTTTAACACACTCGCGAAAGTTAAATCTTGATCAAATGAATTGTAAAGGAACGCAGAAAAAAAGAAATAATGATCTAATAAACACGGATGAAGAATGCGAAAAACAGAATAAGGATACGCAAGGATGTTTTTCATGGTGATTTCTCGGGTCCCATGTGGCATTGCTTCTCACCGAACCCTCTCAGTACGATACTGGAGGATTCCGGAAAGGGATGTTAGGTTTGGAAGGAAGTACAAAAGTGACCCAGCTTTTTTATGTGCTAAACATCACTTGTGGTATTAGCAATTCCATTAGAATGTAGTTGGGAACGAATAATTGCGTGGATTAATATTTTTAGGGGTAGGTCTGTAACTATGAGGGCCTAGACTTATCTGTGTTCATCAGCATAAGGAACCTTTCCGAGGCTAAAAGATAACGATACATGGGTATGTCAGAAAATATAAATGTCGATGAGGTAAACATAAAACAATCAGTTTGCTCTCAATTTTTTTTGCACGCTTGACAAAATTGCTTAACAGTTTCTTGTCAGGAGACGAATAAGGTAGGCGCATATAACGGTTGGGCAATGCTCATTTTCATGTGTACCTTTGACAAACTCAGGTGGACTTATACAGAACTTAACGTCCTGAAAAGAAAAGTTCGCAATTTTGTGACAGCCTATAGTGTGCATCACCCGAAATCGTCATTAATGATGCTGTATTTACCGCAAAAACATGGTTAAGCTTGTCGTAGACACGGTCGCGGTCACCTACCTGCACTGGCTCCAGTTGGGTGACCTCTTTCTGAAAACCAAAAAAAAAAGTTTTGTATGTGCTAAAAAGAAGTATGTGCTATTAAGATCAAAAACTATCGGAGATTCATCCAAGAGAATAGCACCGTCAACATCTAACGAGCTTGTCGCTATACCGGTAAATCACATAGACATCATCACCGACTGTTCGACGTTTTATTACTATGAGCACTGGCACAGACACAACCTAGTAGCCGAGATTCCACAACAGGAGTTCGATCTGATATACTGTCTCATTGATCGGAAACTGCCATAAATACCGGAATCTGTGAGAATAAAAGTACCGGGCTCTATGGGCACCAAACCATCATCACAGACAGGACTATTCTTGCGAATAAACTTGATTTTTTTTTGTAGAATAAGGGTAACAAACGAGCACACACTTCACCTGAGGGTAAGTGGACCCTGTGGCCCCTAGACATCTATATTTATCCTCAATTAAGGATCAAAACGCAGATGCGTTGTCACCCATGATGACCATAACCTTTCCCTTAAAACTGATAAATTCCCCAAGTATTTCAAACTGAAACTTATCCTATTTACAAGAGCGGTGATGCGGGATGTGTCAATAACTATAGACCTATTTCCATTCTTCCCATGATGTCAAAAATTCTAGAAAAAGTAATCAATAAGCGTTTAATTAATTACTTAGAGAAACATGATCTGTTATCACATTGCCAATATGTTTTTCGACCAAAACGTTCTACTCAGGATGCAGTTCATGAACTAACTGATTTCATTGTTACAAACCTTGACCGTAAAAAGAAAGTAGTTTTTATATTCCTTGATCTAGCTAAAACATTTGACATGGTCTACGTCCCGCTCTTGTTAAATAGGCTATAAGATCTTGGAATAAGAAATACATAGCTGAAACTATTCTCTGACTGCTACAGTGGTGACCTTCCCGTATCATATGGTGTACCACAGGGTAGTGTACTTGGTCCCACGCCATTTCTTATGTTCAGTATGAGTACTCCTATAAGGACAAAAAAGGAAATATGTAGTTTGTCCCAGTAAGTTTCTGAAGAGAAAAATTTTCGCATAAATATTTCTGCTTCCTGTGAGGTTACCCTTATAATAAATAGAACAAACTTTTATCAATTTACTCTCTACCGAAACATGCATGTAAATAAAAATTACGGAACTGGTTGCTAAATGTCGATTATATGGCTGCTGAAAATGAATTATAATATACCTTTGTGAAGAGAAAATAAAATAATTTATTATTATTATTTCATTATTATTACTAATATGGAAGGCCTCGTTTCCAGTTACTAGGGTCTCCGGTTCTCCACACTCATCATAAGAAACGTATTTTGTGAGAGCGTGGTCCTTCCTCGGTCGAGCCTACCCATCCGTACGACAACTATAATATAAAGCTGCAGCGTAGCTCTACCATGTATAAATTGATATTGTACTGAAGAACCGGGCACAGTGAAGAATATTTATTTTTGATCGGCATTACCAGTCCGTATGACGAGAACCTCGTGAAAACCGAGATAGGATTCGAATTTGTTCACATATTACATCTTAATTTTTCCTTCACGGTAAAAAGACAGCCAGATACACACAGTTGAATCAAAAAGATTTTTCTTCAATTTTACACAAACCAAATATGAAAAACTTTCCCTCCGACCTATTAGTATGGTATTCTGACCGTTACGAACGGCGAAAGGAGCCGGGGAGGAGTAGGGTTTAAAAAAAACCATGGGAATACTCGTAATAATTGATTAATTACGATAAAATGTTATCAGTGTTTTCTATTCAGTATAAATAGTTGCTGTTATAAATATTTTTAATCAGCTATTGGATAGAGCAGGTAAGTCTGTACATCTTTTGCGTATAATAATAGATAGATTTTTAATAGATATAATTTTTAAATTATATTTGACTATTCGACTGTCTTAATAGTTCTGGCAATATCTGTTGGTGATTTAGTTATTGGTTCGTAATTTTATTGCAACACATATATTTTCAAATATTGTGAAATAATAACACTGATTACAGAACTCAGTATTGTGTATGTCCTTAATCTAATTTTATAATTAAAAAGAGATATTTTGTGTTATCTATACATATAATAAATCTGTAGAAAAGTCGGGTCTGTAATTCATATATGTGTTTGAAAAAACAAGACTGGAGGACTAAGCAAAAGGCACTGAATCCAAATTGGTGGTTAAAACTTAATGCGATAAAATTCGTAAATTTCATTTTATTCTATCTTCAGTATTTGCGTTAATATAAGAAAACATTATAGAACTTCATTTATGAAATTTTGCAGTCTACTCAAACGTAAAAATAAAATCATCACATATTTTATGGTGCCAATCAATATTAAATGGGATATGAATCAAATATCGCAAATAAGCGTCATACCGTAAATTAATAGACGACATTGAAATCCAACATTTCTCTGTTAAAACTAAACTAACTATAATAATGAAGGGATGTGAATATAAATAACGCATTTTTTTTCAAATGTAAAATGTTAATAAAAATTTTATTCTAAGACAATTTGGTAATTGACAATAACCTTTCTTATTGTATACACACGCCTGATATAAAAAAAAATTCAGGTGATTATGGACATAAGATATTAATGCGCTTATGAAAAACTTATTTATTCACGTGTTCCTATAACATTATATCTATGCCAAATATCAGTCATCTTCAAAAATTCAAAAAAAAATATTTGAACAGACAGACATAAAGAAAGACACAGACATCGAGGCGACTCTTATAGTGATCGAGTTTAGCCAAATTTAGAACGAAAAAACATTAAAGTTGCTAAATAAAACTCCACGCGAGCAAAGCTATTAAATTATAATTTAATTACATTTTTTAGGGACGCTAAAATGAAAACCATCGCTTTCGCATTCGTCGCGTTGCTGGTCGGTGTTAACGCCGTACCTTATCAAGTTGCAAAAGCTGGTAAGCGAATGCTCATTATTAGTGTATTTTATTAAAATTATTTTTAAAAATACATACTTAGGTCACAATTTAACTATATCGACCATATTTTTAATTTTAATTCAAAAAATAGTATGTTTTGTTTGTTTATATCCATTCGAATAGATTTTTTTCTGGGCGAATTTATTTATAAATCACGGACCTTATGAACAGAGATTATATTGTTTCTATGGAATAATAAGACTTATGTCACAATCGGCTCACACTGTTACAGATGTAAGGAACGAAAAAATTATCGATGGAATTATTATTGGCATCATTGAAAGTATCGCTCAGCAAATCCAGGACTTAGGACTCGACCCACTGGTAATTGACAGATTTGAAGGAGAATACATTTTCCCCGTAGATGGGTAAGCCTGCTTCCGATTTTGAAAAAATATAGTTCTAACTTCCAGTATATTAAAAATATGCATAATATATGTATGCAAAATATCTGCTAAAATATGAAAATGTGTATGTGTATACTTATGAGCTGATAGCCCACCTATCCATAATGATAGTTACACCCGGCATTGTCACCCTTGCCATTTTACCAAGTTTTTTACTACGTTTTTGTTATCTTACTTTCGTGTACGTCTGTTTTAGACGAATTTAGTAATTGATTTTAAACTTACCTCCCGATGAGTTAGACACTTAAAATTTTTGACATAGCTCCGAATCGAATAAAGCTGTAGTAATATAAATATAAAAAACTTGGTATATATTATGAAATAAAAAAATACGTGTGGCACTCGGTGACTGCCGCGGTAAAGCTATTGCATAGCATTTTTTATCAACTTATGCAATTATAATTATTTATTTATTTTATTTATGCAGTTAAGTCTTTGATATTAAATCAAGTTACACTTTTTGAGCGTGGTGACCGATAAGAAAACAATTTTTTTTCTCTTATTGAACAAATGAGAAGTTAATATTGTTTAAAATATTTTTAATATCTTACAATACATGTAGGTTATTCAGGAATTTTTATCATTGAGTTAGCAGCTAGTGTACATGCATACGTATAGTCGCACGCAAACAAACACCGTGCCGAAGTCTGCCGAACTGAAACGAAGTTAGACGATGCACGGCTTTCAACGCCGCACCTCCGTGCCCGTCGGAGTGGGGAGCGTGAGGTTTTTTTTCGTTACGGAATTTTTGGATTCGGTCCCCGCGCTGAAGGCCTGTGATAGAAGCTATGCAATAACTTAAAAAAAATTGAAAATTTACTTGTTAAATTTATTATCAACTGATTTGATATAAAATAAACCCAGGATATGTTTACATGCCTTTATCGTGGACATATTATACGGCAAGTCCGCGAAAGTAAGGTATAGGTTGATTATCAATAAGTATAGGTTGACGAACAAATTTGCAGTATGTATAACATCAAGTACATCACACCGGGCTTCCGTTTTGTTGTCTAGAGACTAAAGAGGACAACAAAGCGGAAAAGCGGTCACGCCTAAATGCTGTGTATGATATTAAGGAAACTTTAGAAGCAAGTCTTTGAGCTCAAGCAAATATCATGCTTTATAGCTTGAGGCCGTTACTTTCTGAACTTCTGGGGTCATGAATTTCCCGCCGTATGCTTCCGATATCGTAAAATAAGGTTATGTGATATTTTACTAAAAAATTAAAAAGTATAATTAAATATTGACACAACTTTGTGGCATTTATTTTATTAAAATATTTACCATTCGCGTAAATTCCAAAATATTATCAAAAAAATACAACGCACATTTCTTGATCCTAACTGGGATTCTAACACATGCCATAGTTGTTAGTACTTTGATCATAAGCCACATTATCGTAATTCAATAACTTCTCCAACCCAGAATCTTCAGTGGCATCGTTTCTATTGAGAACTTCGAGTTGTCTGGCCTTAGCAACATTGTCATTAATGAAGTCAGCTTACAAGGCAACACGTTGAGCTTCTACTTGGCACTTCCCAGTATTGATGCTTTTGTTGGTAAGTATCAATCTGATTTTATATTAAAATTTGATTAAAGTATTTAATAAAAAATAAATCTAATTGTATTGTACAGTGGTCAGTCGATACCTCAACCGAAGATAAATAATATTATGACAACCTGTCACAAGTCCGCTGCTGAATGTGTTCATGCCTCCCCCATTTAATACCACAAAGCTGGGTCCAGAGTCTCCTGCCTCTATCGATTTCCTATATGGACCTGGTAATAGGTCGTCACTCCATCTACTGGGAGCGATCCTATAATCCACTAGTCTGTATGATGTTATCATTCTTGGGTCTGTCTTCTCTATCGCATATCAATTCGTTACGCTATATGAACAGCTCAATTCCACTTCAGCTTACTGTTCTGATGGGCTACTCTGGATCTGCTGCGAATATTATCGTTACAGTATATTCGATTGTTACTAACTCCTGCTGCAGGTAACGGCAAACATTTTCTCATGCAGCAGCAACCAGCAGCAGCTGCAGGTTGCAGATGCAATGTACCAGTATAAAATGAATAGAACTTCACAACTCATAGTACTCTAGTAGTAGTTACAAATAGTGGATCCCGTTGCTTGACGCAAGAAGGAAAAAGTCCTATTCACATAGTTTCTAAGTTGGAATTATACTATCTAGTATCCAGTAAAACATATGTAAATCTAGTTAAATATTAGCATCTACAAAGCAAAACTATGATTAAGTGTATCATTGCCAGCATTTTGGTTACAGGTTTTAATCGCACGATACATACACTTATACTACATAGAGTACCTACCATTCTGCAGTTTCCTTTCAGTTTATCATTCTATGGAGCGGGCTGTGTTTGAAGTTTCTCTGCGTGATAAATTTAGAAACGAGGATATTTGTAGTAGAACCAGAGTGACCGACATAGCCCCACACATTAGTAAGCTGAAGTGACAATGGGTCGGCCATATTGTAGCTCGAAAATCCGATAACCGATGGGGAAAAAAGTTTCTCGAGTGGCAGCTTCGTATCGTTAAACGAAACGTAGGGCGACCCGCCACTAGATGTAGTGACGACTGTTAAGACGTCCAGGAAGTCGATAGATGCAGGTGACTCTGAGCCGTGCTTTGTAATGTAGGTGAGGCCTATGTATAACAGTGAACTTGTTAAGGGCTGCAATGATGATAATAAATATACGAGATAGATGATTTATTACGTGGTAGAGCCATGCTGCAGCTATATAATGGTTGCAGCACGAATGGGTCGACTCGACCGGGACAGGACCACTCTCTCATAGAATACCAGCGTCAAGTAGTTTTACAGTTTTATATTAATAAATATTTTTGACTACTAAGAGAAGCTGTCGTGTAGTGGTGGTGTAAGAATATCGACTACCCTACATTGTGTGTCGTAAAAAGCAACAAAGGGAAACTGGAACAGGAGATTGGTGGTAGCATCAGTTCATTAGTTCCCAACTCGTATGCAAAGTGTGGCGGCTATGGCTTAATCTTCCCTATAAGGCAATATAGGGAAGGACTATGTTCAGCAGTGGATTTACTTTTATAGGCTGAAATAGATGGATGGAAGGAAACCTAATTGATTGTTACGTCATATTGAATATCTATGAAAAAATAAACACTTAATTTTCTCTTTTTTTCCCATTTAAGGTGATGTCTCTGTTGAAGTCCAAATCCTCAACCGTAGACTCTTTGGGCACGGTGGCGGCAGGTAACCATAATTTCAAAAATTTTAGAAAACCAAATTTTTGTTCAATGCTTGATGAATAATAGATACTCATAAGTAGAAAGAGTAGATTACCAATTACGATTAATGAAAAAAACTAATATTTCAATATTATGTTAATTAAAATAGGGGCCGACTTTTTCAAATATCACATAAAAGTTATTCGCAGGGTAAAATTTTACATAAAAAATTGAAAATTACATTTGTGTGAACAAAATAGTTTAATTGTGTCAATTTTATATTAACATCAGGTTATAATTTATTTTAAGGATTTATTTTATCAGAAGACTGAAAAATCAGTCCTAAATAAGTTAAAGATAATATTGTAGTACAGGATGGGCCCAAAGATTTTGCAAATAGCAACACTTGATTTCTTAAAAACCGTTAGAGAGAGGGGCACGCAGATACTGGGGAATCCTGCGTCGCTTTACGCAATTTTAGTCACGATCACAGAATACATTGTATATATATATAAGGAAGTCATGATGGAGGGCTTCACGTGACAACAGCGTCCTTTTTGTGTAAAACAATTTGACAAAAATAACGATCCCTACGTTACTGTATGACTCCTACTTAGAATTGAATACGGACTACGCCGTGAAAGTGAGTGTCCACGTGTTAATTTAAACAAAGTTAGGATCAAGAAATTCGAACAAAGGGGATCGACAACAAATACTAAACAAACAGGGCGGCCACGTTGAAGAAGAAGTGATGAGAACATTCGAGAGGTTGAAATTTCTGTAAGGAACGATCCAAAATTATCTACGCGTAAGCGTTCAGTATCTCTGGCAATACCAAGGCGACAGGCGACAAGTCTGCGGCGAATTTTGCACGTAGATCTCAAACCACATCCGTATAAGTTTCAAATTGTGCAGGATATAAAACCAAACGATTATATGCAATGTAAGTTATTAGCTGACACTATGCTGGAGCGATTCTCTTGCCTTGAGAATGTATTGTTTACGAACGAGGCCCATTTTCACACCAATGGGCACGTAAACAAGTGGAATCGTCGATATTGGAGCAGAGAAAACCCTCATCTTAAACACTTCATTCGACTAAAACGATGAGAATGCGCTACCATATCAGCAGAGAGCATAATTGGCCCGTATTTCTTTGAAAATGTTCAAGAAAATTACGTACCTGTGAACTCAGTGGAGTACGTGAAAATGTTGCGAGAGCTTTTGACGCCACAGTTAGTTAGAGTTTGAAGGATACAACAGCAGAACTAGGATTCAACAAGATTCTTGTGGGATACCTTAAAAGTCAAGTGTACCTAAATAAACCGACAAATGTATCCCGATTAAAAGAAAACATCAACGAGGAGATATCCGCGATCTCTCGCAGCGTGTGTCAGCGAGTTCTCCAAAGTTTGCGTAGTCGACGTCGATGCAAGAGTGCTAAAGTCGAGAAAAGGCACAGGTCTACGATGTCATTTTTAAAGAATAAATTTACTAAACGTTACTAAGTTAAATAAATGATCAACAAAATAACATTTGCAGATATATTTCTATTAATATTTCATATGTTCAAAAATTTATAGCCCAACCTGTTTATAGATAAAACTAAAATAAATATTATTTAAAAAATGCTTCAATTATGATGCTAGTGAAATAATACTATCAAAAGTTTTATTAATTTATTAGTTTCTATGTAAAGATATATTGATTTCATAAATTTTCATCAGGTTAAGTATTAAAGGCCTTCGCTTTGCTGGCCAGGTCACCCTTGGTACTGAAAAACTAATCGACAATTTGAACCTTGCATTTAGCCTCGGAGGCATTGAGGTAATTTTTGTATACTTTGTATATTTGAATATATAAAAAGTTTTTTCTTATTATCTTTAATTTAAATATCGTTTTTATAGTCTAACCTCAACGTTAACATCTTGGGTTACGACATCTCCAGCCGATTGAATGAATATCTTGGTAACACACTGCCTTCCCAACTCAACAAATATGAGGTGAGTTTTTAATAGGTTTAATAGTTCATTGTCATGATTGCAGTCTTTTATAAATCCACTGCTATGTTATGTTGGGCCACCTGTACAAATTGACTTCATGTACGTATTACCAGGTTGTAACTCCTTTTAGGTTGGAGGCTACAACTTTTAAAGCTAACCCCAAGGCCAAGGGTTATATGTTCTTTGAATATGGCCACATTTTCCGCTTGAGCTTACTGATCCGTAAGGTAAAGAAGTTAGGTTCTATTTGCGGAAATCCTCATTACGAAGTCTATCACGCAGAGAAACTAAAATGTATAGATCTTATCCTTCCTCATACGATAGCAGTGAAAGACCAGGTTCAAATCAGATCCATATGTCATAGCTGGCAACACGCACTGTTTGTACATTCTAGTTTTCAAGTTTTGAGGTATAAAACATGTAAACATATTAGTCAAAACATTCGAGCGTAGAGTTTCCAATAACTGCCTGTGAAAGTACGTCGAAGTTTTGGTAGCAATACGCGCTAGGGCGTACCTGATATGTTCACCTGTACAGGTAAAGCGGAACGTGTATGTCGCGTAGTCACTACGTGTATGACTCTACTCAGCTCTAATCAGCTCAAGCTTAGCTGACGCATGTTACTGTACAGGAAACTCAGACATATACACCCTAACGTATCTTCGCTACCTTAATAGGTTATAAGACATGATTTATGTGTTGTCCGATCTTAGTGGTCATATGCGCTTTGCGACCTATCCGAAGACTATATTGATCGATAAACATATTCCTTAGGTCCTCTATGTATTCTGCTATAATAACTACATCATCGGCAAATATAATGTAAGTGAATTATTCGCCATTGATTTTAATATCCAATATCCAATGCAACAGTGATGCTAGGCAGTCAGATTTACTGTAATCACTAGATCGGAGTAAATTTGACTCAAATCTGAATTTTCGACTCACCGTCATCGATTATACATTTTTCAATGTAATGAATATGGTTATAACGATTTTTATTTTTATTTTCAGGAACAACTTAACCGTGTTCTCGCAAACATTATCCTGAAAGTCTTGGATCGTCTTTTGGATTAATAATTGCGAACTTGAATTATAAGTGATTTAAGAGCAAGTTTATGAAAATGCTGTTAAGAACAGCATTTTTATAAACTTTAATTAATATAGTATATAATATATATATATATATATATATATATATATATATATATATATATATATGTGGCAGTCGGATTTATGATCCGTAATAAGTAGACAGTTGAAATTTGCACAAGGTTTGTCGATATAATAACAGATAATAAAAATATGGTAAATATTAAAGGTGTATCCCCTACTAGCAACGTGTTTTTTTGGCTTTCTTTACTCGATCTTAATAATAGCAACAAGTAGACACTTGAAATGCTCACAGAGTTTGCATCGCTATATTCACTAAAAAAAATTAAAAAATATATTTAAAAATTAAAGGGGTCCCCATACAGGAGACAAGTTTTATCTTTTACAAAAGCATTTGAAACGTCACATCACATTAAATCTCGTACGATGATAAGAAACACTTTATGCGGAGTGCGACTCACACTTGGCCGGTTATATTAAAGTTTTATTATATAATACTATATATGATATACCATTTTATTAGGAGAAAGGAACACTCTTTCACACTTTTATGGCATAGGCCTGTGTATAGTCGGCGTAAATGTTATATCAGTGTTGTGCGGTGTATGTTAGAGACTGACAAAAGAGTTACTTATCAGCAAATTCGGACAAGCTTAGGCATCGGTATGAGTCAAGTGCTCAAAATCCTCCATGGACATTTAGCGTTCAGGAAGCTTTGCGCCCGGTGGATACCTTATAACTTGAGACCCAAAAACGCCGTCGTGTTGTTTGGTGTCGTGAAATGGTTTTAAAAATTTAACGGAGGTGTTTCAAATCCAGCTTTCGTCACCCGTAAGTATCTACATACTTACATACTTACACTTACATACTACATACAGAATGGGTCCCACATATATGCAATAAATGAAACCATATACTTGTTATCGCCTTTGCTGACGATATACAAAAAATGAACGTAATAGGTCCAGTAATTAGGTCAAAAAGTAGAGTTTTAATTTTAAGCAAATTTGAACACTCTATAGAATTGGGTCACTAAGTCAATGATTCAATGAACTTGAATCCTTGAACATTAAAAAGCGACGTTGCCACGCAGTGCAAACTATTGGTATTGCGACATATCGACAGCGGTGTCTTTTGTCGGCGTGCCACCCGCGTGCAACGTTGTCACCCTTCCAAGGGGTCAAGGTACGTTGTCTAAACAGAGTGTTCACTTTTACTGAATTTATTTTAATATTTATTTTGTTTGAAAATTTCACTTTTTTATTTTACGGGTTTTAATTTATATTTATATTTTATTATATTTTTCTACACTTCTACGGACTAGTATTACTTGTGGTTTCATTTATTGCATATATGTGGGACCCATTCTGTATACGAAAGCTCGATGACGGGGGGAGTACTCCGCCGACCATCCCGCGGTGTGAGTGCTCCATGCCGGAAGTGCACTTCACACAGCGCTCGGTTCGCAAAGCACTCCTCTCACTGGACATCCACAAGTCGAGTGGGCCTGACGGAATCCCCCCAATTGTGCTGAGGACGTGTGCTCCAGAGTTGGCACCGGTTTTAACGCGTCTTTTCCGGTACTCCTACTACCTAGGCGTAGTCCCAAAATCATGTAAGACGGCTTACGTCCACCCGATCCCTAAAAAAGGCGACCGCTCTGACCCGTCCAACTACCGGCCAATCGCCATCACCTCCTTGTTCTCCAAAACAATGGAGTCCATTGTAAACTGCCAGCTCATGAGGTACCTTGAAGATCACCAGCTGATTAGTGACCGCCAATACGGTTTTCGCCGTGGTCGGTCAGCTGGTGATCTTCTGGTCTACTTAACTCACAGATGGGCGGAGGCAGTAGAGTTCAAGGGGGAGGCATTGGCCGTTAGTTTGGACATTGCGAAGGCCTTCGATCGGGTTTGGCACAAAGCGCTTCTTTCGAAGCTTCCTTCCTATGGGCTTCCCGAGAAATTGTGCGATTGGATCACCAGCTTTCTTGCAGATCGGAGCATCAAGGTCGTTGTAGATGGTGCAAGCTCCGATTGCAAGCCTATTAATGCTGGTGTTCCACAGGGCTGCGTGCTATCGCCAACGCTGTTTCTTCTGCATATCAATGACATGTTGCATACTCGTAACATTCATTGCTATGCAGATGACAGCACTGGTGATGCTCTTTACACCGGCCGAGCCAATATTTCTCGGGAAAACGTCTCCGAGTGCCGGGACAAACTTGTGTCTGAAGTCGAGTCTCTGCTGGACAGAGTAACTCGGATTGGGGGCGACTAAATCTAGTCCAGTTTAACCCACAGAAGACACAAGTTTGCGCGTTAACCGCTAAAATGAACCCCTTTGTCGTATCCCCTCAGTTTCAAGGCACTCCCCTTGTTGCCTCAGCCAGTATCGGAATCCTCGGCGTCGACATATCGAGTGACGTGCAGTTTCGTGGTCACTTGGAAGGGAAGGCCCAATGGGCCTCTAAAAAGCTTGGCGTGCTCAGCAGAGCGGGACAGTATTTCATGCCGGCACACCGCCTGCAACTTTACAAGGCGCAGGTTCGGCCGCACATGGAATACTGTTCCCATCTCTGGGCTGGGTCTCCCCAGTACCAGCTTCTTCCACTTGACCGCATCCAGCGCAGAGCGGCTCGAATCGTCGACGACCGAGTCCTTTCCGATCGGCTCGTTTCACTGGCGCTGCGAAGAGATGTTGCATCTCTTTGCGTATTTTATCGCACCTATCACGGGGAGTGCTCTGAGGAATTGTTCGGATTAATCCCAGCCGCCAAATTTCGTGAACGCACTACACGTCAAACGTCCCGATACCATCCACACCATCTGGATGCTTGGCGGTCCACAACTGTACGTTTCACAAGGAGTTTTCTTCCACGTACAACCTCTCTGTGGAATAGTTTACCACCGGCGATTTTTCCGGACCGACACGACCTGGGGACCTTCAAGAAAAGAGCTTACTCCTTTCTAAAGGGCCGGCAACGCACCCGCAATTCTCCTGGTGTTGCGGTTGATCATGGGCGGCGGTATTCACTTAACATCAGGTGAGCCGCATGCTCGTTTGCTACTTCTTCTATAAAAAAAAAAGCTGGATTTATTGTTATGATCCTGAAACTAAGAGACGGTCTGCTGTCTGGGTGTTTCCTTCCGAGGAGTTGCCAAATAAACTGAGACTACAACTAAAAAGAGAGGTCGAAGCGTGAGAAAAAAGACGTGTGGCACTCGGGGACTGCCGCGGTAAAGCTATTGCTATAACTTATGCAATTATAATTATTTATTTATTTTATTTATGCAGTATTTCTTTTTCTTTGATATTAATTCAAGTTACTTAGGTTAATCCAATCAAATTCAACCAGATTTAACCGAACCCGCGTTATAACGAACTCACTATTTGTGAAAAATACTGTATCACCGGACCGGGTCGCAAAAAACTCAGGTTCGCGCAGTACATACGTCAGGGCGGCCGTACGGCAATTATATTAACAAGACGCGCAACTACTCAGTTCCACGCTCCACGGCAAGATTTGTCACTTATTATTTATTGTCCAATTAATTGTCTTTAAGTTCAAATTGCACGCTCTATTAACATAAGTCTAAGACAAAACAAGGAGACTTTCAATATATGAACAACCCGGCTTCGCGCAAAAAACTCTCGCGACCCCTATAATGCGACCGGAGAACGTCATCGGCGCAGGCGCCGCGTGCCTAGCTAGGAGCGCGCCCTAGTGGCGAGCCGGGTGCAGCCCGGCCCCGCCGTCTGCTCCCTAGCTCGGCTCGATGCCAACAGGGGTGACTAAAGATGGGCGAAACTGTTATATTTTTCTAATTCGTTATGTTGTTGTAATATGTTTTTCTAACTGTTGTTTTAAACTGTTATAATATATTATAAAAGTCGTCGGCTGTGTTCGCGTTTTGTTGTATGTTGTTATAACGATTATAAATATTACGATGAAAGATTATTACGATTATAAATATTAGATGATTATAAGTATTATATGAAGACAAAAAATATTTTTAAGTTGTATCAGCATCAATTAAGTGTTTCGTGTTTTAAAGAGAATCATTTAAAATATTTATGTTAAGTTCAATGAACTTCCCTTCCTACTTTTTATAGGCTTAAGGATGTCTGAATGTATGCTAAGCTGTGTAATTATTGTATCTGTTATAATTATTTACTCATATTTTCAAAAAAATTTACTTTTTTTAAATAAATAATTAATTTTTAAAAGAAATAAATAACTCATTCAGGCGTAGTTAGAACTATGGACGTGATATTACATTATTTACACTGTGGTCAAAGTTTTAGTTTTCTACAATTATTTACATTTTTTTCAGTTACTATTCAAAAATATAATTTGGTTTACTTTTGACGACGTACTTAAGTCTTTTGCGTCTATCCGATATTAAATCCGAACGACAAAACTCTTCATACACTTCTACGAATCTTTGCTTAAGGTGAAGTTTTAAATTTGTAATTGTACTTTAAAAAAATTGTTTTGCAATAATTGCACACTGGTTTTTTTTTCGTCCACACTTTGGACTATAAAATAGTTCCAAATGGCTGCGCTACGCTGGCGTGACATTATTATACACTTTTACATACAACACGTTAAATCCTATCTATATTACACTAAATATTTAAAATTACTTTAGGAATAAAACTTAACGAAAAATAAACAAAAACAACAATAGCTTTTTCACGTAATATGGGGACCTGCTATCAAAACATTACGTATATAATTTAACAGATAACAGTGTCATTGTCATCTCAGCTAGACAGCTAACTGAACACTAAACTGATATATTATATATTACAACAGCCAAATTAAATAACAGGCACAACAGGCAACTAATGAAGGAAATAATATATTTTTGTTTACCGTTATAATTTAGTTTTAGTAAAATAAGCTCTTATTAAGTTAGCTTAGAGTTTAAATTAGTGTAAGCTATACGCAATCCTTG